TTTAACCCCAATTGGAACAGGGGAATCCCATTAAAGCTCTGTCCTACTATAGATAGGTCCAAAGGAGACGAACGAAGCCATTATAGGTAACCTGCCATTACCTTCCCCCCTCTTTTTTAATCTTTGCTATATTTAGCCCAACAGGTGCTAATAGAGATTATCCCAGATTATAGGATAAGGGAAGTGGATGGTTTCTTTGCACGAACTACTCGCCTCTTGACTAATGAGTTATTCCATTTTTTCTGTAAAGTAAACGAGACACCAATTGTGTACAAAAAGGTAGATACTACACTCCTATGTGACAGGCTCCTTACCCTTCTACTAAAAGGGATCAGTTCCATTAAACAATATGGGACTACCCCTTTTAGTGGGTTCCAACCCGGTACGAAGAATTATATAGCTATCTTAAATCTTGAAGCCTCATCTTTTGGGATCACGAAACGTTTAGCTATATATCGTTTAACCTATAATTTTTCTCTTTTCCCCATTTAGGAACACCGAAAACGTGACGAGTAACAGTGCTTAATAAGTGCAAACTCAGGCGGAGAATCAAGATGGGACATTCACACAAAGGAATTTAAAACGGAGCAAATGGGTAAAAAGGGGAATTATATTCTTCTGATTGAGGAGAAGACAGCGTGCTGCTGAAGTCTCATGAATGGACTTTAAATTAATCGTCCTCATCCATTGCATAGGTACACATGCCGCGAAACGGAAAACCTACATATATCAGCAAACGGGAATGTACTACTACTGCATGTATTCAAAAGACGACAGTATTTTGCTTCTAACCAACTATTTTTTGGCACGGTTTCTGATGCCATATCTTGATTCAACATGTCCAAAAAATATTTTACTAGAGTATTCCCCAGAAACAGTAATCCGTTTGGTCTCCTATTGGCAAAATGGAACTTTCAGTTGAGTAGCACCAGATGATGAAAAAAAAATATACATCTATGCAACCTCAGAAAGTATAAAATCGACATTGTTCTAATGACTCTTCTAAATTTAGGTAAAAATTTCTTTCCAATTTTTTCTTTGCTTGAAAAAATTAATTCAAATGAAGAGACTAATACAACGGAACAAAAATGAAAAATAATAGAGAAAACTCAATAGGGCACCCCCCCATTCGGTTATTTTGATAAATTGCCATTTCATATGCGAAAAAAATTATTAGCACCCCCTTTTTATCTTAGAGACATTCTTCCTTCTCTTGTTTCTGCATATAACTTTCCTTTCCGGACCAAGAAAATTCTAACAGGAAAAAAATGTTACGGACAAAATGTGACCGGGAGAAGGGGCATAATGACTATACCTCCTTTCTTAACCGGACCTAATTGGTGACGGATTTTTTCTAGCCTAGAAAAAGAACGTAATGAACAGATGTACTCTAAAAAAAAAGAGAAATTCCTGCCAAATTTAATAATTAAAAAATGGGCATCCGTAACAGTATTAGTCTATTCCGCGCACATATATATATTATTTATTTCCTTTTTTACAGAAGAGGAATAAGAAAATAGAAAAGAATAAAAGAAAAAAAAGGTAATATACTTGTTAACGTACAAAGAAAACCCGTTGGTGTTTTTTCTCCTTTTTCTTACGGTATATTAATACTATTACAAATTTTTTTACCCCATTGTTGTCTATTTCTTATGCTGTAAAATAATATTCAGAAAAAATAATTTTATCTAAAACTGTATTTCTTAAATTATATAGAATGTACTTTATATATTTTCCTTTCACCTAAGAACATCCTTCTTAACAGATTATAGCAGAAGTATTATCTTCAAAATTAACAAATGTTATAGTTTAGAATTAAGAAAGAAAGAGAAAATAATTAGAATTCAAGAATTCTGCACACATCTTCTAAACATGATGTATATATACCTGTAGTAAATTGTTACAGGAGATAGATCAGCAATTTCTGCCCCTATGAAAATAGACTGAACTAAACAATCTTGCATACATATATGATAATCGCCTAACTTTCTCGCCGCGAAGAAAATGAATCCTACTTCTTCGGAATAATGTGACATATGTTGTCTCTGTGGAAAAATATATAGAAGAATGTTTCCAACGCAAATAGATCATTTAAATTGGTCTAAATAGATGCAAAAAAAAAATAATAAAATAATAAATAATTAATTTCGCAGAATAAATTATAGTTCCATAAAAATGTATAAAAAAATTCGTTTATTTTTTTCTTTTTTTTTGGCAGAAAGAAGAATTTTCTATTAGAAGAAAATTACATATACGAGAAGGATTAGCCACCTTCTTTTCAATATTCTTCAATTTTGTTCATTTTTACCGCTTAACCCTAAAGCCTGAAGCCAGATTCTTCCCATATTTATGAACAGATACATGCACAGATTTTCCCAGGCTCCGTTCGTTTTCTATTTCTGATCCATTTATTACTCCTTTTTTTTTTCTTGGCAAAATGGAGGACATATAATATTATTTGCCGTTCCTTCGCCACCTTTTTTATATAGAAAGATGTTCTAATGGAATCTTTCCAGGCAGTTTTCCCTCTTTTCTTTTGCTTTTTTTCTAATTTTCTCCTTTTTTCTCCACGCAACGCAGTGACAGTCAAATTTTCATGACTCTAGTCTTAAACTGAAAATACTAACCTTCTAATTGCGCAATATTCTAATTCATAAAAATAACAAAGACCAATGTATACTATTCCGCATGTGGCAGTAATCCCCACTCTAACTTCTTATTAAATGTAGAATGAAGTCTTCTGGAGTAATTACAACTGTAGACCCATTCCTAACTTTATGGAAACCAGATCCAAGATAGAAGGATGAGTTTTTTTTTTTTTAATTATTCTGTTTCGTAATTTCGGTATGGATACGCGGCTTCATCTACGAGGCACCCAGCAGGGCAACTGGGAAATTGGCAATTATAGAAGTTTAGTAGCATATTGGCTTAATGTTTCCGCGTTGCTTAAACATATGCGCATCACCGAGCCCGCTTCACAAAGCAGCGAGTTCGCTCCAATTCGCAAGGCGTCAATTCACTATGTACTTAACAACGAGCCTTCATATTATGATGGAGGGTGTGAGTCGCAGAGACACGCCATACAGAGATACGTCCCATGGATAAGACGTTATATTCACCACACAAGTACACACAGACGCGTAGCACAATCTTGTACCTCGTACTATCTTTCATTCGTGCACACCACGGACGTGAAGACAAGAAGGGGAATAACGTATGCCCAGCTGCGGCCTTCGGTCCTCAAAACTCACGCAAAATAAGCTACAGCGTTAGCCGTATCCTAATTTTACTGCTTCCCTCATGTGATAGGGGACAACGAAGGATATCATTATTCTTCTAACTGCGCGGGATAAAAAATGCGCGTTACAGCGACCCAGCGAGTAACATTATCCAGATTTTTAAACGTTCTTGCCTTTTCCTTCCCACTTCATCGCATCAGTAGAGGGTACAATTTCAAGAGGGGCAAACGAATGTTGGTAATTCTGCACTCTGACTGTACTTATTGCTCCTAACAGGTGCGGCTACTTTAACACCTCGCTACATAGCTTAACCGTATAACGTAGCGTTGTTATTTGCCTTTATTTTGGCTCCTCTCAGTTTGAATCACTGCGCAGTAGTGTGTTGCGCACATGGGCGATACAACCGAACCGCTGCATCCCCTTTTAGCAAAAAGGGGGAAGTAACTGGCTGTTTGTGTAGCTCACCTTAGGCACTGACCTGCTTCCTCCTGCTGCTTTTCCTTCGAGTCCACTTTAAGGTAAACCCATTTTATTATATTCCAACGAACTCACATACAATTCCTCATTTCCTGGTTTAGTACATGAATAGACAACCATAATTTCTTAGGACCCCAAAATGGAATCCATGGGGAAAGAATAAACGTTACAGAACAGGGAACGGAGATAAATCTGCAAACACCCTTCCATGAATGTGAAATATATAATGTAAACTTGTTTGATGAATAATTCTAAATTAGCTTTAAATGGAAAAAAAAGAAAGAAAAAAATTATGCACAGGGCATATATATATGGACGTATAAAATTACGGAATAATGTATATTTACGTAAAACTTAATGCATATGTATTGCAAAATAGATGAGCGTTATGCATTAAGCGCATATTTTTCCGTCTCACGCGGATTTCTTAATTCATGAACTGGTCATAGTTCTATGCCCTACTAATTTCGCAATTCTTGGGGATGTAATTTCTCATTCTCAACGTCCTTTTCTCGATTTGCGATAGAATCATTCATGTGCAAAAAATTTGTGTGCTTGCTATACTTTTCTTTTCACGCAAACCAAAAAAAAAAAAGAGGGAACTATCTTCATTGGAAATATTTTTAAATATTTATCTACTAAAAATATAATCATCAGGATGTGAGACATTATTTAACGCGGAAAAACTGTATTCTTCTTTGTGGGTATCCTTCATAGATTTTTTTTTTCCTTTTTCTTCTGCACAGAGAGGTTGTCACGTAATAAGGACAGTGTGTGTAAAGAATAACAGAAGGTGGCACCATCAGAAGCACATTCTGCTTATTTGACAAATAGGAATTAAAAGGAAAATCAAGAAAAATATTGGGCAATCATTACACTTCCCGTTACACACTTCCCTGTGTGGTACTCGTTTTCTTTGCGGAGAGGAGTTTTTCGAGTCCTGAGTGCCCATATGAATTCCAAAAGCACGTAATTTACACATATGCATAATTGTATTTATATAGATACGCAGACGGGGCATCCTCCGTTTTCTTCTCAGTCAAATGAGGCAAAGAACGCTCCCGCCTGCCCTGTTGCTTTCTGGACAAGCACAAATTTACTCATGAATTAAAAGGCCACTATAGGCTCCCCCGAAGAGATCCTCATAAAGAGACGGCTACCACCAGAAGTGTTCGATAAAAAGGTTTTAATAAGAAGAGAAAGTTGAAATGGATATACATATACACGCATGTGACGCCATCTCGGCACTATGCAAGAATGCTATTTCAAAAAACTACAAATTGGTTAGTTGTACCCTGGCTTATTGTCTATCAGATTCACGGTGGCGAATTCCTTGTGGAACCAATACTTCCAAGTTGCCACGTGATATTTGTTCCACTCAGCATCTTTTTGCTGCTTCAATAGCTTTATATCATTCCAGAGGATTTGTTTTTCGTCAGTTAAACTATCACTGGGGTTGTTTTGTTTCCTTTGTCGCAAATAATCCACAAATTTTTCAAAAATGATATTTCTTTCGTTAATGTCTACTTCTCGGAGAGCTCTTAACACTTTGATTAACTGGGACCAACTCCTGACCTTATCGTCAACAAAGTTGTAAGAATCGTATTCTGTAATTGGGGTATCACAAATTCCTATGATGACATTAAACCAATTTTTCGTTTTGATAACGCCTAGGTCGTTCCACTCCTGCTTCAATCTATATTCAACGCCCAAACGCTCTGCGTTCCTTGAATAGGATGGGCCTTCACTGGAATAATAGGATTCTAATCTGCTCCGACCTGAGGAAAATCTTGTATGATCTGTTTTGCCTCCATGATTTCTGCTGCGTCCATGATCACTCCAACGCCCATGATCTGTGCTGCCTCCATGATTGTTATTGCGTCCATGATCACTATAATGCCCATGATCTGTTTTGCCTCCATGATTTCGGCTGCGTCCATGATCACTCCAACGCCCATGATCTGTGCTGCCTCCATGATTGTTATTGCGTCCATGATCACTATAATGCCCATGATCTGTGCTGCCTCCATGATTGCTACTCATTCCGTGATTCATGTTACGTCCATGGTTTCTACTGAGTTCATGTTTGCCATTTAGTCCATGATCGCTACAGCTTCCACCAGCGACGCTGTCTCTTCGATGTGCGGTGCTTCCATGATCCGTGTCGTCTTTCTTTTCTGTGCTTGGTACCCCTTTCGCGCTATTTCCCCCCTCTAGGGTTCTTCCAACTGTTGAATCCATTTGGTCGTTTAAAAGTCTTTCTGAAAATTTTCTATCGTAGCTCCTGCTGGGTTGTCTCAAGAACGTGTTGTATCCATTGTTGGAGAGACTTCAGGGGGAAGGAAAATTCGTAAACGACAACATAAGTAGATGCATCCTTTTTCTACTTTTTGTTAAGGGTGAGGAAATCACAAGCATACTGCAGGCGTACTTCACACGCACTCATAATATGCCAAATATGCAGATCATGCCTCATATTGCATTTTTCTTTTTTCTCTCCCAATCTATATCAGATTACACATAACACAAAGAGGAAAGTTTTGGAAAAGGGCCTCGACATCGGGCACAAAGTGTTGTTTAAAAAGTGATAAAATGGAGATGTTGCTTTATTTTACTTTATTTTATATTTCTTCGCTTTTATGTTTTTTTAACTTTATTTTATTTTCTTCTTCCTTCATTAATGTCTGATAGGAGAAGCTAAACTATTTTTGCTTATTTCCATATGTTCGTGACGCGCCATAGATCTATTTTACTTTCATACGTAAACGTACGTGTAACAAGTATACAACGGAAACAAAAAATTGCTAATTAGATTTTCCCTTGCATTCTTCTTCGTTGAAATATGTAATCCCGCTCTGTTTAAAAATATTCGACATTAATATTGCGAGTTTGTTATTTTAGTACTGATGCCTATAAATAATTTTCTCTCTTTCTTTATCGAGAATCGCTATTTCTTCTTAACAGAAATATAGGCCAATCAATCTAACGCTGAGAATGAAAATGCATTGTCGAAATATCCGTTTAACGGGGTAGAAGCGTAAATTTTAAAAAAAACTAAACAAAAAAGAAAAAAAAAGGAAAAGTACTCCAATATATGTGCTATACGTATGTATATATATATATTACTCATCCATGCCGCAATGATCGGATGTAGCCCCCCGCGATATTTTGTACTAACAGAGGTGTAATGAGTGATACAATGTTCCGAGTATTCCAGCTTTTCTTTAGCTCCTTTCACGGAAGCAAATGTAAAAAACATGTACAATTTTCATTTACTTGCGGAAAATAACTCTACCCAACAATCGCGAACGATCTACGCAGAAATTTTCTCTTTCTTTTTTCTTTTTTTTTTGTCTTTTCTGTGTGGATATTTTAAAAAATACACCGTATGTATCTTCTTCTTATTTGTAGATATCTTCTTGAAAAATTGAAAAAGGTTCCCTTGCGAAGCGGCTCCTCAGTGTAAGAACTTTCCATATGCACCACTAAATTTCATTCTAATGTGCATCTTGCAGAAAGGAAAATAATTTTTCTTTGTTTTTTGATTAGAGCATTGCGCCGCATTTTAACCCGCCTACATGCCTTTCTCGAAGTTACTTTTTTTACATGTACAAGTCTGTACCACGCGATCGCATATTTGTATATATATAAATCATTCATGTATGCGGTTTTTTTAAATAGCGTTACGCAGTTGATAATCCGTGTATATGTACTTCCTTATGAGCTTAGTTCTGTCTCTGCACTCGTTATCCTCACTGCCCTCGACAAGCGTTCTATTGGGGATTCACCGTAACTTTCCCGCAATTATTTTCACTCCTTTTTCCTTTCACGAATCTCACCATGTCCATAATTACAGAGTTATTAACATATTTGGGTTAATGTAGTCTATGCTTCAAATTGGCCTCCCCTACAGAAGCAACTTCACCCGTTTTAATTTAATTTCTTTCTTTCCTCCTCTTTGAAGTGCAATTTTGAAGGGAAACGAAAAGAATTGTCCGACCTGCAACAAGTGGAATATCCTCTTTCCTCAACTTTAAGGGCTATTTCTTCCCTGGGCATTGTGAATAGAAGGTAACTACTTAAACAAGGTAAAAATACGTCCACGCACACATGCAAATAAACATTCCCGGATTATAACATATATATATGTCTATATATATATATATCTATATTTGTCTATATGCGAACCGCCCCCATTGGGCGATAACCATTTGGTGTAGCCTGCTTGTTTTGCATCATGTGAGAGGCGGAAAGATCATGTAACACTCATCTGATGGGCAAAGGCTAAAAGTAAAACACGCGGGGGTCAATTACATCGCAGATCTGTTCTAATGCTACAAGCAACATCAGTTAAAGGGTCCTCTAAATTGTAGCCTCTAACGTGTCATAGATTAGGAGCAACTCGACTGAGCAGTCCTAGTGTGTAAGAAATTAAAAGAAAGAAAAGAAAGAAGAAGGAATCCGCCAATGCTGCTACTTTAATAAAAATGGCTCATTTTATGTATTACATGCCCAAACGGTCTAATAGGATAAATGCACGAAGGGAGATAGCTGCATGCACATGAGAGCGCAGCGTTCATGAGGCGAAGTCTTCCCCCAAGGACATCTCATCTATTCATACTAGAGACAGTTTATTCCTGCATGCTCCGCAACTTCTGCAGTTCTTAACGGTTGCTATACCACTCACGCGGGGGAGAGGGATGTAAATCCAAACATTTTAGCAGCACATAAGTATCTCTTACAAATATCTTTAACAATTTCCCTTTTCCTACAAATGCACATTTTTTTTTACCTTCCCTCGCTCGTCTTAATCAGTATAATTGCAATGTTTAGAAACAAAGATGCTTCTCCTTCTTCTTACTAATTGTGCATCACTGGAATAGGAAAAAGGGACCTTTATCAAACGCCAGGTTGTTCCATTTTCCGTCATCTTCTACTCTGTTACCTTTTTCCGTGTGTGTGCGTTGACGCGTGTTCGTTCGTGCTTGTGCCTCCTGCTGAAAGAACAGCATAACAGAGTGTAATCACATTTTTGCATTGACTGCTTCTGAATTTCGTAAAGGTTCACACTAATTTTATATACTGCTTGGAATTTCCCCACGGTCTAGTAGTACAAAGAGAATACAAAATGAGTCTTCCCCTATCCCCGGCGAGAAATAATCCTGAACCCATGCCGCGGTTCAAGTCAGATTGACCTATTGCACCATCGTATCAAAGTACTGATACACTCTGGGTGATCAAGCAGATCCATTCGACTTCCCTAATCGCGCGCTTCGCATTACATATGAAAAATGTGCCCTTTGGGGAGATTCCTCCTTACAATATTATCTCTCCCGAGGGAAGCAGATGAAATTCCCAACACCCACTTATATGTTCCCCATCCGTGGTAAAGTAGAAAAATACGCCTCGTCAAGAATCATCCTCCCGGCATGCAAATATTATTCGAGCCTACCTCTCCTAACTTGTTCAACGCTACGATTGCACTGCTTTATCGCATCGTTAAGGTGTGCGATAGAGGAGGGAATATCCTCAGGAGTAATTAAAGAGCACCCCCTTATGTAGCAATTGTAAGCGGCTTCTTGCAAAACGTGCACAAATGCAACATCAATGGAGAATCTCCCCTATATAGAACCCTCTAGGGGGTAGGCAAAACTTCCGTGAAAATTAATCCTCCTCCAAAAGGAGACCTTTCTAAATGGGATTTCCCCAAATGATCTCATCTTATACTCCATCGATGATAGCAAAATGGGAGCGAAGTCCATGGGCTAATAACTCTGTGCTCAAGGATTAAAACCTCAATGTGCTTTTTTCTCCGGTGCTACCTACATGGGCGCCGGCTACATCGGTGGGACAGTGTCCCCGCGGCACAATTCATTGGAAATCATTTAGAACAAGTAATGAAAAAGTAACGGCTCAGGATTAGGGTCGAAATTGTTAGCTTAATTCTAATGTGTAATAACGTGTGTAAGCTTTTAGGAGCATATGCATGGCTTATACATACAGGCAGAAACATTCGGAAGCGAAACAACGCACCACCATATATCACCTAAATGATTCTATGGGGAACAAATATGTTTTCAAATGTACGTCTACATCACATACAAACACATATGTATACATTTACAATTTTTTTTTTTTTAATGCATGCATGTGCTACTTTCTCCTTCGAATTTTCCTCCTTATCTGTCACGTGGTCAGTACTTTGTAGGAAAAGATAGGGAAGCCAAATTTTACACAGTAACGAGTAAGTAATATAAAATTCGTGTAATTAAAAACAAGGCATGCACTGACTGTAGGTATGTAAATATATGAGCATGTATAGTGTCCACTTATGCGGAGCAGAATTGATAGAGGCGAAGAAGAAAAGCCACGAAAAAATCACATACAGGCCCCGAAAGGGGTGCGAATAAATTGAAAATTTACATAGGCTTGCTTCTTCACTTCACTCATTGATCTTAAAATGAGTAACACCCTTACGGGTGCTATCTATAATATATATATTTTTTTTTCCTCTTTCACGCTTGTCCTTCTTGTAAGCTCCTTCTGCTGCTATTTTCTAACAGCTAAAATGTTCACGCAGCGTGTTTTCCCTTGAGTCAAACAGGGCCACTTCTACGTAGATAGAGGGATAAGAAAAAAAAAAGAAGAAAACCTACTTCTCAGCTTTATCACCCATCGATCAAAGCACTAACCCGGTCTTATCACCACCACCCCCTTGGGTACACATTAGACGTAGACGAGATAAAAGGGGACATGCATCGTGTGACAAAGGGGTCCATAGAAAACAACGCTTGTATGAGACACCACAGGAGTGGCTGCCACAGCTGAAGCCGACACAATAGGCATCGACGTGATGATGGATAACAACAAAGCTAAAGTGATGATTGAGGCTCCTAGTAAGATCATAAACATAAACTTCTTCTTCATCTGTTTTCGAAGTTCTTTCGCGTTATTCTTGAAACGAGACTTCATGAGTAAATATTTTACTCTATATTCCTTCAACTCCTCCACCAACAATTTCATTTTTTCTTTCTGTTCTCCCTCTAAATGGGTATCTATGTAGTCCATTAATTCATCATAGTCGAATGTTTCGTGTTTTCTAAGATGAGACACAATCTTCTTTGCCAACTTTCTTCTTGAGCCTAAAGAATCGACACTATCAAGAGACCCTACAAAATCATAAAACTCTCTTCTCGTTCTGTGTAGTCTTTCCCTATGTATCCTAGAACTTAAATACTGCTGTAAGTAACCCTCATCTTCTTCATTAGAGTCAGAAAGTATGTTATCCTCTTCGTTACTGTTAATTGTGGAGGATGGCTCATCTGTGAAGTCGGATCCATAATTGGAGGTCTCATACTCAGAGGTTTCATAACGGGAGGTATCATACTCGGAGGTTTCATAATCGGACAACTTCCGTCCGCATCCGTGGCGTCGGATGTTGTTCTCGGAGGAGCTAACCTTCAGGGTGGAGGAGCAAGAATGTAAAAATATACACATATGCAGAGGGTTACACTTAATAGGTAACTCGGATCAGGTGACTCAACACTCCTGCTGGGTTGCCCTTCTGCGCCACGTATGCTTACTTGGCTCTGGGGTTGCCAAACGCAAATGGAAAGGGTGAGTAAAAAAAGTTTGATGTAAAAGGGGATGATCATCTCTTATTAACTTTGCTTTGATTGGTTTAATTCTGTTTTCCCTCTAATTAATCATTAGATAAAATTTGGCTAGCTACAGCTCTATTTCGCCCATCGATGCGTCGAACGAAGGACTATGTAAGTAGAAACTTGGTGTGATGAGCTTCCTGTGACCATCTTGGGCCATGACTAAAGAACTCCGTGGCGCCCTGTACCAATTCGACCTGCAAAGAGTCAACAGGAGAAATAACCTCCTACCCACTGGGGCATCAATACGGAAGCAGTGAGAATAAAAAGTTTGCTGAAAAATCTATCAGCCTGAAGACGGAGAAAAATTAATAGAGTAAAAGATTGTTATAGATGAGAAAGGCAAATAGATATGTATAATTTACTATTTTCTAAAATCCACATTTAATTTATTTCTCTCATTTTAGGCGAACTTCAGATTAATCAATTAAAAAGGGGTGGTACTAAAAACCGTCACAAAACCTCTGTGGGGTAGTAAAATGTAGTTGTAGTGAGGAAAGTAGAAATTACGCTACGTGGTACTTTTCCTACTAAAAAGTTCTTTTCGCTAAAAAGGCTACTCTAAAAATATTTTATTAGAATATTTGCAATTCGGTGCTTTCTGTTTTTATTAATTTTGCTCTGACAATGTTTAACATATGCCGCGCTATTTATTTCCTCCATTTTGTACTATATACCTATACTTCATCTTTCTTTACTGTTCTTTTTTACTGTTTACTATATTTTTTACTATTATTTTTTCTCTATTTTCTATTATATTATTGTTTCACTTGTTTCATCATTTTCGTTCCACCCGCCCATTTAAACAGGCATATAATAATATTATGTATACACAAGTTCTGTGCGCACGAAAGAAAATAATACAATCTTTCTGCGGGGAAATGATATAATTTTTCTCTCAAGAAAAAATATCCGAGGGGTACTTATTGCACAGGGGGACTAAAATAAAAAAAAAGGCTGACACGTTATAAAAATGTAAACGCATAAAAGAATATATATTAATATACGATGCACTACTTGTTATTTTCCTTTATGCCCATTTATGCGCAATTTTTTCAATCTCCATAATAACAATTTCTTCCCCGCCAGTTGACCATTTTGCGCTATAAATAATCCAGGTAGATAAATCTGAAAAATCTGCTTTTGTAAAGTCCTCACTTGGAACACAAAACCATGCCGTTAAAAAATTCGATGATTTCCCTCCCTTACACGATAAAAAATATTTTTGAGTAGAACCTCTAACGACATTGAGTGTGCAATTTTTTTTTTTTTCTTTTTCCTACAATTTTGTTTATTTATTTTGCGTAGAGTAATATTTTACGCATCCGGTACAAATTTCACCCATCTCTTAAAAAGTACATAGCAACAAATGGATCAGAAAAAGGGAAAATAACGAAAAAAAAAAAAGAAAAATATGTTGATTTTTGACGCTTTATACTTATAGGGGTCAGAAATGAGTGAATAGTATGGATATACAGGTACATTTGCCATTGTCATTACAAAAGGAAAAGAAAAGGACTGAAAAAATGTCATCATTATTATTGAATTCCTTTCTAACTTGCCTCTACAACATGAACAATAAATTATCCTACCAAGTTGCATACAGAAATTAGCCGTAAAAAAGAAAAAAATGGTCTTCCCCTGTGTTAAATATCTTAATCGTTTTAATTAGTGAATGAGCTTAATGCCTTAAGGATTTATGTAAACCTCAGACGATCTCAGTCTACATCACTCGCTAAGTTTATATTTTTTGCCATACGCGTAGAAATGAGGGCTCATTCTTCGTTAGTCAAAAAGAATATAGAACCCAAACAACTAAGTTTCAGTTTTTTAGGAGCCAACGGTAAAGATGCCTATATGAATAGCATAACGCGTATTTTGATTCACAGCGCAGATTGTAATAGACATATAATCCATTATGGGGATATATTTTGGGCAACCGTTAAACATAGGAGTTATGTATCCGCATGTATAGTACGAATAAAAAAGAATAAAAAAATCCCCCTCCTATTTGTTTCCTGAGAATGTGGCAAAGATTCGTCACAATAATGCTTCTTCCCGAAAAGCTGAAACTTCCTAATTGTTCGTTTTCTCCTTTTTTTTTTTTTTTTTTGCCTTAATAAGAATGCCTATACCATAAAGGACAACATTGAAAAGGTACTACTCCCTCTTTCTTAACGGACCCCTTTTTTGATAATAAATTATTTCGAACAGATGGAATTGCCCCAGTTACGGTCCCCCTTTTCAATTATGCAAAGAAAGCGATTTACGCTGCTCTTCGTTTTATACTGCCACGAGAAAGACCGCAAAAAAGAAAGGGCCTTCATTTTATTTCTAAGAAGAGATGGAACGATTCGAGAATGGAACGATTCCACGATGGAACTCTCGGGCTATGAATGGGAAAGGGTATGCATATTGTTGTACCTTAAGCCAGTTTGATTCAAAAGGGCACCCCCCATTTGGACACCTGCAACGTCCGTGATTTTTTAATGATGTTACCTTTTCCCTCATACAGCTGAATGTTTAACCTGTGACGTATGCCCAGAGACTCGTAAAAATCTGCACAGTGACCTTATACACAAATATAAATGAATCTCGAAAAACGATAAGGCGTAAAGTGCTAAATGGATCTGCTATGGAAGATCCTTTTTTCGTTTCAGAAGCGGCAAATCTGTTACTGTTTTATGGAGACCTCTGTACTACCCACAACAGGCGACTCCTCAGTGTAGATCATAGATCACCTCTTAGCCAAAAAGGGGGTTCAGGTTCAATATTGTCTTACACGATTCTTCTTCCGATAGGGCCCTTTTGAGGTTTTTTTTAAAAAATGGGCTCTACACCAATCAGGGCGCAATTAATATAAACCTACTACTTGGACACCCTTAAAAAAGTGACCCATTTACCAAAATATGCAGAGCTGTATCACCCTTTCTACTTTTCGCATCCATATCATGGTGTATGATTCGATTCCCATGTATGTTTTATTTCTCCCTTTTCGCAAAAAGACCTACATAGATGGACTAGCATGAAATAGGCCTACTATTCCATAGCCCAGTGAGTTATAAAAAAGTGAAAAATAAAATGACCATGGTTCCACAACGTCTTGTTCTTTACTGCGGCACGGAAAGGGATAAAGAAACATCGGTATGATTGGCATCCAGCATGCTAAATAAATGTTGATAGGAAATCCACTTAACGTTGTTAATTTTTCATTCTAAGTAGGCATTCCATAAACCTCTTCATATTCTAAGAAGATCCCTTCTGTGCACAAGAAGGTTAACCAAAATTTTTCTTTGAAGAAGATTATCCCCATAGTGGGGTAGTGAACACATTAGGGATAGACTAAACAGTTGTTACCTCAACGTGCAGTAGGGGCAGAAGTTTTGCATGCACGCTGTGCAAAATTATTGGTATCACTTTGCTCACCATCTCTTCCTGTCAGTTCCTTTTTTTGTTTCTTAATTTAGGGGTTCCCCCAGTTCAGTAATTTTAGTAATATCTTCTGGCATGCTCTGGGGAATAATAACTCCATGCATAGATGTTTAAAAAAAGTTAATAATAACGCTTCGTATGTTCGGGATTTTCCTTTCACGTGACAAATGGTTTGCGCCGGATGTTACCCCCATAATTGCTGGCGACCGTAGCAGCGGTTCCGAAGTTGAGCAGTTGTTCCTATATATGTTCCCTACCCAGATAGGGATGTCAAGCCACCTTGGTCAACCATTTTTTCCATTTAATCCAGGCATACCACTAAGGGGACCTCAAATTCGATTTATTATACGTCTCAATTAAATAGGACAGGCGGAGAGACATAACACAAGTCATCATTTTTATATAAGTATCAGAATTGCGGAGAGGAAAAAACAGGGCGACGACGAAGCGCAATGATTCGAGGCTGGGGAATTTTATTTTTTTCCCCTCTTGGATTTTTAAAGTTCCTATCTTGCCACTTTGCGTTTTAATCTCAAAAGAAAAATAATCCTTTCTTTTCTGATTCCCGCATAGTGGAAAAATGATCGCAAAATGAGGACAGAATAATGGCACAATGATGGCAACATGACGGCAAAAGGATGACAAAATGATGACAGAATGACGTCACAATAATGGCAAAATGGTAACAGAATGATCCTTTTTTTTTTCTTCCTTTATTTGCACAGATTTAATCCCCACACTGTTGGTTCTGCCTTTCTGCTCGAAACCCTTCTTTCTTCCCCACCGCGTCAGTAAAACTTGATCGAAAAAAAAAGAAAAAAAAAAAAATTATGCTTCCCCTTACGCCTTCGCAATGATCGCAACTGGCATGTTCACCCCTCCCAGCATAATGGAATAGAACTGCTCTGCTCCGCGATAGATTTCCCTCCGTCTCTCTTGGGCCAATTTTTTTTAAATTTACTTTGCCCTTGGTAGCATATAAATCGATGCGTCGGTGACAGTAGGTCAATCTCCTATTACTGCTTCACAGCATAGCTGTATTAATTATATATATGCATGCACATATTTACACCCACAGTGGTAACTTACCCACAACCGATAAAATTTAAATCGTCTATACAATAGTTCGAGCAGCTCTGCCCCCGTCTTTGATTTAGCTAAAGTTCGCGCTTCATTAAAATAACCACTGCGACGCTTCTCTTTTTTTTTCTCTTTTTTGCCCCAAATCTACACGACATTGTCAGAATTGATTCACATGAAGATCGAAATTGCCGTGGATTCTTTATCTGTAACGGGCCAAATAGGTATTTCCCTCCGGCGACGTAACTCCCCCTCTTGTGCCTAATAGAGTTAAAAACAAACCGACCATTCTGCAAATTGGCAGTATGATTATATTTGCAATAAAACACCACGGGTTAATTACAATTCTGACTCCATAACGCAAAACAGAGGAGGAAAAAAGGATGGACGTAAATTACCACAATGAGTCCACCTGTACAGTAGTAGCAAGGATCCAGGCTCAATTTGGGTACTTGATATCGCAGGACAGTGGGAAAGAAAGAAAAAACAAATCTTCTCTTCCCCAGATGGTTAAAATTACCCTATTTGTAGTGCTCATCTGGGCGTCCCGCCTCTCCATTGAGGTAAGAAGAATAGCCGCCTTTTGTGACACATTCACATTTACTGACCCGCATGTAGCCCACCTCCTAAAAATCGCAAGAATTTTGGCCTAAAGGTCAAACTTGATAACATTCCGCCCCCTCTTTAACTCTCCCCCTTCAGGATGACCTGCCAAAAACTGCCCCATGCGAAAAAATCAGGAAGTGTTCTGTGAAGCCCCTTCTCCACGCAGTAGAACATGAAGAGTGATAAAAAATATACCCGAACGTACAATGGAAGAAATGCTGGAAAAGATAAGCAAAACGTATTGCAAAAAAAACAAAATCAGAAGTAAAGATAGAGAGAAATGTCTGGAGCAAAAGTTGAGTGCATTCCTACAGGCATATGCCACCTCAGATGACCCCTACGAGAAAAAAGTCCTATACATTTTATTGAAGTTCAACTGTGAGGAGAGGAATGTACAGATAGACGACGTCTTACGAAGGTTTTACCTCCATCACTTGAAGGACTCAAAACTTGTCTTCATGAAAGACCTGATCGCACTAGCGAGTTTCGGAATTTTACCTGGGGCTATTACCTGGGCAGCTATGTAAATCTGGATTTTTGCTGTTCTTCTAATTATAGGCAATGCAGTGGGAATGAAAGCAATACATGTTCTTAATGAAAGATATGCAGATTATGTCATTTAAAGTGAAAAAATGAATTTACAAGATGTGGCACCCCATAGTGCATGATTACTGGTGACTTTACCTTGTAAAACACATTTCTCACATCCTTCAAAATGGGGGAAAACAATTCCCAATTTCTTATCTCACCTGTAATGCTATATTCCGCATCTTACCCTTTCAATAAGCATCACCGCCCCGTAAATTCGTTTACATCAATCATTTCCCCCCCTGTGGGAAAGTACATTCCGAGCACTAGGTTGGAATGTACTGCGTCGCATACATCCGTCCATGTGGAGACAGGAACAGGAACCTCGACCCTATCAGACAATTTCTAACAAATGGGTCCTCTCCAGTTTCACGCATTCACAAATAGGAGGGAAAAACCTCTACCCTTACTGCTTTAGTCATTGTTGAAGTGTTTTTCCCACTTTTTGGCTACTCCATCATTCCTCTATCTCAGACATTTCATTCTTTAAAAATGCCTCCCTCTCCTTACTAATTCTGTTTCATACTGCTGTTTGAGTGCGAATTTTTCATCCTTCATTATGAACAACACAAAGGCATTTAGTTGCGAATTCCTTGCCATTTAAAATGGCCAATCATCGTCTTCTTCAGATGCTTACCCGCGAATAATGTAAGAAGGAAGGGCCAAAAAGAAGTTACGCTTTTCTTTATGCACTTCTCCCCCCTCCGCCTCTTGTCAAATTCATGGTGAGAAAAATGGCATTTTAGAGAAGGGGGTATATCCCCCTTCGGCATCCTCTCTTTTGGGAGGCTCACCAAATGTAGGCGCACAGTGGGGATACCATAAAGGGAAAAGCTTCATCTGTGAAAGAAATGAATGGCAATCTCTCTCCATTTAAGCAAAAGAAGCATTCCTCTCAGCTGAAATGCTCGAAAGACTGTCTTTAAGATCCAATCCTCATCTGTGTACTCCTTACGAAAATTTTAGTAAAGAAAAAAAGGATACCTACTACTGCCATTTGGGAACTGCTCTTAATAATGAACAGACAACTCCTTAAAGGACCTTTTATCTGCATCTTGATTCTCTCTTATACCTAACGTTGGGGCAATTTTACAACTTCACCTTACACGAGTGGTTATGTAATAACACTCTTCGATAAAACCATGTAAAATTGGCTCATCTTAATACGCCGCTACGATTGCAAAGCAAATGAAAAAAAAAGGGGGACTATATATGTACACCCCCCAGAAGGCAAACACAGATGCTCTCCCCCTAAATAACCATCGTCATAACAGCGCATTCTTAACTACTCCAATTGGTGATTGTAGGTTCTACTTCTTTTTTTTTCTTTCTTGCTTTCTTAATTTTATTTTAATTATACTGGATGTAATAAGTTACTTTTTTTTTTTTGTTTTCTCTTTTTTCTTGGATGCATGAATTAATTATGTATCATGAATTGTTAAGAATGGTGATAACTGGAATTGCAGGATCATGCAATGTTCACTCATTGGTGTAAATTGTGAAGTGTATTTGCAGAATATGAAGCAGGGTAGTGAAATGAGGGCATGAAGGATGCAGTCGGTGAGTATAGCAGTAAATGTATCACTGAATGTATCTGTGAATGTAACAGTGGTGAATAAAAGAGGTGTGCATGCAGTGACGAAATAGATAGACAGAAAATAAATAATGCACTGAGTAAGAAGCGTATAGGGGGTATATAATATAATATAAAAATATAATCACATGCTCGGTACGTGATTTTTTCTTTTTTTAATGCCGTTCAAAATGATCATTATCTCATGTGTTTTTTTTTTTTTATTTTCTCATGTAAAAATATATGGAATATCGATGTGAGAAGAAAAAATAAAAAACAGCATTTAAGCAGAGAAAAAATGATCTCGCGATAGAAGTATCTATGTGTTTAATTTTTTTTTTCTTTTCTGCACAGGGGTCCACTGCGTACACTGGAGTCATCGCATAGGGATACACTCGCATTCTCATGTATATGATTATGGTTTGAAGAAAACATCTCCAGTTTGTCATCTACGACACAGATGGTGCCTTAATTGGTCCTCTTCCAAAAAAACTGTTCATTCCTCGTCCAACTGGGGTTTTCCTAAGCAGTCCAGTCGATACTATTTATATAGCACGGGGATACAGGGCATCTTCCTTTGAGAATGCTGCAGAATCTTCTCTCCTATAAGACCCTTTCGCACATTCGAACAAACTTCTCTGTTAACGTCAACAAGACAGCGCCGTAACTTACACACAATGAGCAATCAAGTCTTTCTTCCCGCGTGCTTCTCGTTAATTTATAAGGTCATTCAAAGGGACAATCAACAACAGGTCGTAGCTCGGATGGCAAAGGTAAAGACATGTTCTTCTGTCACCTAGATTACAATTTACTGTGCTTTTTCATCTTGTAGGTTAAGATTTCCATCCATATGCTGGTCATTAAATCTCTGAGCTCAGCCCATGACTTTCTCTTGGCATTGACAAAGGAGAGGAAATCACCCCTCTCGCATTGTCCCCCGGTTACAAGGGCATAGAAGTCTTGGAAGTCTCCCCTCTCTTTCTTAATCAACTCGTCGGTCATATTGTAGTGTGCCCTCCACCAGTATTTCATTCTGATTGAGGTTGGTAACATCAGAGTTTTCTGTAAGTATTGTGAGTACTGCATAATATACTCTTGCATCCTAACAAACTTCTTTCTTTCGAGGGAGAGAACCTGGTTGAATAGAACGAACATCTCCTTGACGGGTGTCTCTGGTCTCAAGTTCCTGATTTTGCAGTTTAATTCCTGTTCAGCCATTTGATCCTGTAATTCAGATCTAGTGCACCGGAGGCGGGGTTCTTCATTGTCACGGTCGGGTAGTCCATGCAGTTTTCTGCCTCCATCTTCCCCTCGGTTATCTGGGGATTTTCTCATGAATTCCCGGAAGGAGCTGTACATGTCTTCTTCCATATCAGGTCTTGCACCTCGTGCTTGTGGACCCCTTCCACCCTGATTTCCCTGTGGTCCTCCAGCCATAAATTTCTTCCTTCCATCTGGGAATTTCCCTGGTCCATCATGAGGGTCAAATCTATCTTCATCAAAGAATTGGTCATCAGGTTTTGCAGGAAGTGTACGAGAAGGACAGATTTCCCTCGGGTCGCGGTGAGGTCCTGGACTTGGGCATTTGGAGTTAGGGAAATTCCTTGCGTCATTCACATCATCTATGAACCCTTGGTGAGAAAAGCCTTGGATTGTGTGATCATCGTCTTTTGCACCTTTGGGGGCATTAAATGGATTTGCACTCTCCATTCTTCCAGCTCTTGGGACGCGGTTAAAATCTTCTTCATAGTTTGTGGAATTATATCTCTCATAATGATTTGAACGGTCATCTTCTCCTCTGAGTCTTCCATTGGGGGGAGAGGGGATATCTTCATTTATCATCTTTTGGATCTCTTCATAATGAATGGATCGGTCATCACTTCTCCTGAATCGTCCATTGGGGGGATATGGGATATCTTCATCTATCATCTTCTCGATCTCTGCATAATTAATGGATCGGTCATCACTTCTCCTGAATCGTCCATTGGGGGGATATGGGATATCTTCATCTATCATCCTCTGGGTTTTTGCAAAATGAATGGATCGGTCATCACTTCCTCTCAGTTGTCCATTGTGGGGAGAGGGGATATCTTCATCTATCCTCTCTTGGGTCTTCTCATAATGAATGGATCGTCCATCGCTTCCTCTTCCACCCGTCCTAGGAAATTCATCATCATATGATATTTCACTACTTGCGTAATATGCTTCACGATGATGATCTCCAAAGCGTCTGCCATAATGTCCTCTGTATCCATCGGGGCCATTATAATCATCATATCCACCTCCTCCTCTTCTGTTATCGACCGCTCTTCTGTGTTGATCAGGCGTTCTGAATTCCCTTTCATCTTGCCCTTTATCATGTCTTCGATTAGGACCATTAGAACATTGATGCATTGTTCCCCTTAGGGCATTACCTTGTGCATGCTGGGGTCGATGAGGTGCATCGTGATGATGATCATCACCGCGTCCAAGAGGGGCTTCTGGATTTGCAATAATACGACCCTTATGATCTGTATGGGGTGTGCGACTTCCATGTCTGTCCTCGTCTGTTTCAGGGATAACATTCTCATGACTCTTATCATCTTCCTGTTTACCCTTGTGGGTGCTTGAGCTCTCCCTTTCATGACTCCTATCATCGTCAGGTTTTTCCTTGTGTGGGTTCGGAATAACAATTTCATGACTCTTATCATCGTCAGGTTTTTCCTTGTGTGGGTTTGGAATAACAATTTCAGGATTCTCATCATCGTCATGCTTGTCGTTCTGGTTTTGGTGGATAACAATCTCATGACTCTTATCATCGTCCTCTTTGGGCTCCTGTGTTTTGTTGATAACAATCTCATTAGTGTTGTTAGGCTTATTTTCACCATCTGGGCTAGCAGCTGTTAGTGTCGTGGAGGGAGGATTATCGTCAGGCTTACTGGGTACTTCAGGCTCTGGATCAATCTTGCTGTGTTCATCCTTATCAGTGTGATCATCATCAGGTTTCTTGGGAGTTGGCTGGATGTCAGGAATAACATTACCCTTATCATGTTCTTCATCATCGTATAGAGGAATAGCTGGGATGTGATGAAAAGTATGCTTATCACCTGGACTGGATGGATATCCTGTTTTCCTCTCATCATAGTAGTCTTCGTTACTACCTCTCATTCTTGGTTTATGCATGTCCTCCTCCTTTTGCCATCTGCTGCCTCTTCCTCCTCTTCTGTCGTATTCATAGAGGTCTTCTTCGTAGTACTCACCTAATGATCTGCCATTTTTGTTAACTTCTAAGCTGGAAGAGGTGGTATTGTTCTAAAAAGGGGTGGTAAAGGGGTAGCATGTGAATAGCAAGTGGGTAGCAAGTTGGTACCAAATGGATGTGGTTAAAAGGAAAAGTAGAGGGATGGGTAAGCTCCTATTAATAACTACTCTTCGGCAGCACACTTCATCGTATGAGTATGTATACACATATGCATGCAATGATGCCAAGATGGAAGGGGCCAAATTGAAGAACACACATCACCCCTCAGGGAGATGCTCAAAGGTGATACTTTTTCTCTCTCGTCATCTTCTTTCACTCACCTGTAACAGCACAACGATGACACCAAAGATGAACAACACTTTGTATGGCAGGGAAGCAAGATTGAAGTCAGCGAAGGTCTTTTTGCTCTTGCATCTGTTCTTCCTCCCATCAGATTTTACTACAGTCTGGTTGCTCCTGTCGATGGCTCTCTTAATATCAGCAGGAGATGAAGTTCCGGACAGGACGATAATTGGGATGTTGCAGGGTCTCATTTTGGACTTTCTAAACGGAAAAAAAAAAGGTATTATCATAAAACAGCCGGATAAAATATCTAGTGAGAAGTATATATTATATGCAATGGCGCTAAATTGGCACGAAGCCTTTGAAGGTTTTTTTTATATATACCTCTTCAGCTTTCAGCTATATCTATATGTATGGAAAGGGAATTTCCTATTCTACTATACGCTTGCGATAAATTAGCGCGAGTTGGAAAAAAATATATAAACGAAACGGTATTAAAAATATACAACGATTGTAAGGTAAGCCAGTCTTTCTCAGTTGGGATTAAAAAAGCTTTTTTTTTTTTTTGTTATGAAAAAATTATGCAGATCTGGGGAGGTTAAAATGCTTTTTTGTTATCTGGTATTTGATTTGGTATTTACTTTTTTGCTATTTGTTTATATGCTTGCTTATCTACTTCTAAAAGCTAGGAAAACTTATCTTTCACTTCAATGCCTATTTTTGCAAAAGTATTTTTTTAATTTTGTTTATGCTCTATTAAATATTGTTTATGTTTATTTTTTAATATTTATCTTTTATAATTTACTAGGGGTGAAAAGATATTTTTTTTCCTCCTAATTTTTAAATAACGGAACTTAACAAGAAACTATAGAATTTAGGATACCCTTTTCTTTCTATTTCGTGTAGGTAAAAAAAATATTTTTTTTAAAAAAAAAAGTAAAAATTATACCAAAAGTTATTATCGCAAAAATTGGAGCATTTTTTTTGTCGGAATTTTCTAAAAGCGTTAAATCAAAACCTCTTTAATAACCTTTTAGTTTAATTATTATTTGTTCATCGGTTTTTTCCTTCACTCCTGCATGTTGAACTATTATTCCTTTTTTCTTAATTTGTATGCAATAAATTTAGATACAAGTATAATTTTTTTATATTTTTTTTAAAACGTCGCTTTGTAAATATGTACCGTTTTAATAAATTACGAAAACATTAATTAATAAATTTATGAATACAAATACTTCAAGCTATCTTAGGTAGATAAAACTATTAGAACAGGCATTTTGTTCCTTAAAATTGTATACGGAGTGATGCAGATTGACACGCGCGACAGCATCCCTTTTTGTCGCTTTGAATGCCTCAGTTTAGTAAGAATACCGGAAAGGATATGCACCACCCAGTAAAAAATAGAGAAAAGGAGGTTTCGCATCGCATTTGCAGTACGGCAATATGTTTAATAAGTGATAAAAGAAAGTGCATAAAATAATAATACATTTAAAAAAAAGAACGAACTAATTAATTAATTTTAATTATCAATTTCTGCATTTAATGTGATAATGGATGATGCTCCGTCAGATTCGTATTTTTTTTTTGCAACAGGCAATTTTTTGCTTCATTTAGGATTTTATATATGCGTGGTCGCTGTATTTTTTTTCCTACCATAAAATAATGATGTTATATATATCGATGCCCTTCTTCTCTTCTCTCTATATCGCAGAAAATAATCAAATAAATCTCATCCTTTTATTTTTTTCTTACCCTGAAAAAAGCAGAAATGTATGATTAAAAAAGTATCGTTTCTGTTATATTTTATGCCAATTGCTTAGGAATCATATTATAAGGGATTATTTTTTTCTTTTTTTAATTTTATGGGGCTATCTTTACGTAAAGTGAGAGGTGGTAACCCTTTTGCGAGTTTATGGCTTCTGGTTCGGGTGCTCGAGGGGAGTACCTATATATAACAATATATAATATATATATTTTACGTACGTATAATATATATATCGCACTGAAATTATAATATATATATAATATTTTATTTACATTTATTTCTTTGTCCCCCTTGAGAAAAAAAAAGGTGGTCCAGTCATCACGCATCTGTACAATCGTCTAGCATACGTTCCCATTAAACAAACGGCAGAACAACCTTTTCTCGTTTTCGCATACCAACCGTTACTCAAAGAAGCATGAAATGGACTTGTAAATAGATGGACTAGCAGCATTATACGTTTATTTTATATTTTACCACTTCGTGGCCTAATTTTTTTTTGCCAGAGGGCAGGCAAAACAAGACTGTGGTGACACTTCCCAATTTTTTTAAGAGTAAAAAACCGACCCCCGCCTTTTTCTCCCTTTTGGCATTATATATATGTAACCCCCAGGAGATTGCTACATTTAATTCGCTGCCGTGGAATGTACCTCTTCCTAACTCCCAATCCCCTTAGCTCCGTGCGCCTTTCCAACTCGGGAAAAATTTCTACTCCCATCATATATATTATGTGTATATTATGTATATATAATTATTATATATTTTTTTAGGAGGGGACGTATTTCAAATCTGCAAATGACGCCGTAGCTAGCTATTTTTAAAATAAATACACATACCCGGGTGTGGTCGGGAGGGCGCTCATTTTCTTGGTACCGTAGTCGCTATTCCTTTTTTTTTTTTTTTTTTCTTTAACCTCCTAGCAAAACGTTCTACCTACTTGTGTAATACCACTCACATGGTGCTAAAGATTAACAAGGAAAGGGGGAATAGTGCGAACCATTTTGCAAAATGGGGGAAGAAAAAGGACTCCAAGTCTTGCATTATTAAGTTCTGTTCCCACTTATAGCGGCAGTAGCTTTGGGCATTTGTGACATGCTTCGAAGTAGTTATTTTCATTTGATGAGCTGCTTACACGAAATTAGCGGCACAATGGCATTGGGTTATTCTCAAGGATGCCAAAAAGGATAGGAACTCCTTTTCCTCGATTTATTCATCCTCCTTCACCCCCGTTTCTTCTTCCGCCAGTCCTTGTCAGTATATGCACATATGAGATAATCCACCCATTTTCATCTTCCCCTTCAACCGCACGAGAGATTACCAATCTGCGAAACACCGGTATGCACAAAATCACTGCGTCCATTGCCCCCTACACACATACTAAACCAAGCACATTTTTTCACACTGTAACCTCTATAAGGACCCTATTACTACACGCTCCAAGAGAAAGGGGTTTATATATACGTCTCTGCAAAACGGCAAGAGACATTCTATGCCTTAACTTAACCAACCGTTGGTCCCACCTATGAGTCCACCATGCTACGTATTAACCATTAGGCTCACTTTGGAGGGTTAAATAATTAACTCTTCCTTCAGCACTCGTATGTATGCTCCGTTCGTTCCGCCTTGCAGTTAGCTTCTTCCCGTTATAACAGTAGCGTTATACTGACGAAGCAAAGTTCCCATCTTTTCGAATCATCCCCCGATAACTGTTAAAGAAGTGGTGCTGCCTAGGTTTGAGATCTCTGTTCACCTGCACTAACTCGGTTAGAACAGGGTCAGCCATGGGGTCGCCTGTTACATCATAAATAGGAAGCCCTTTGGCCAATTTCCCATGTCATGGTTGATATATTTTCAGCCCAGATGTGTGCCTCTTAAAAGTGAGATCTGCAAAATAATGGGTCGGCGCCCGTTTGATCTATTACCCTAGAGGAGAAACTTACATCTCCCTCTCGATGAAAAGAAAAAGGGTGTTAAAGAAAAATTAGTTATGATCAGCTGATACGACAGCCCAGCTGATGAGACGTAAGTCGAAGCAAAGCTGAGCCACTGACCATGCCAACATTTCAGTACACCATGTTCTGCTTGTCAAGCCGACCGCGCGAGCAAAACTGTGTTGCAAAGTACGCTGTATAAAACAGCGCAAAACTGGGGTAATATTTTATCCTCTGGGATGAAAAGACTCTACACGATAAGGCCAAGGTCATGGTGAAAAGCTGAAGCCTTCACTTCAGCGGAGAGCCATTACCTCATGCCAATCCTCTTAGCAGAAGTGAGGCCCCATTTCAGCACCAGTGGGTGTTTGTATATCATACGCACTTCTAACCGTTACCACCTGTATATATATGTGTCCCCTCAAGGGGCTCACCACCCCCCATCCGGTATATATGTGCTTGGAGGAATCTTTTTCCGACTCATCGCTCACCACTGCTTGGTATGAACCTTAATCGGCACTCTAATCGGGCATTCCAATCGACATTCCAATCCGCACTTCCCCCGCCGAAGGCATATCACTCCAGGTGGTCCCCTCCAATGGTTCACTTCAAAAGTGGGAAACTCTACGACCAAAGGGACCCCCACTTGATACCTGCCAAGAGGCAGACCAAGGAACCGAGTCGCGTGGTATATTCCCACCCTTGCAGTGCCAGAGTGACATATATCGCCAATGGGCTGCACTCATTGCAATATAGCCCAACTGGGCAGCCATTTATGGCCAACAATTGATACTTGAAAATTGTACAGGCGGGCTGCGCTGTTGGCTGTTTCGCTATACTTGCGCTTATAGCCATTGCGAATGTGTATAGCCCCCTTTTGATAAGAGAGCACACACTGCACCGCTTTTGCTTTGTTTTGAAAAAAATCTTTCACCCAGGATGAGCCTCAATAGATCGTAAGACAAAGCTTACTTTCATATTTACAGCACCTCGAGAAAATCTATGTGGTCTACAAACGAAAAAAATTTTCCTTATATGCTCTGCAGTTGAAAGCTCATCTGACACCCTGTACCGGGGAAAGTACAGGTAGCCAAAATGCGCCCTAAAGGGATTATTTATGAACTCATACAGAAATATGGGTTCATGTATATTGTCCTTCTTTACAATTGTAAAAAAAGTAGTCTAAGGAAAATCAAATACAAAATAATTAATCAGCAAGGGTTCTGGCTTAAGAGGTGTTCAGCCATTATCCTACAGACTTAGCTTCGCAACACAGGTTTTTCAACCAATTGCTGTACCAATTGTCTAAGCCAACCATTCCTCTCGTACTAAGATGGCTTACTGTCACATTTTGATAGACGAAGTAATATCAGTCTCTTATTTTATATTCATCAGTAAGGATTTCTTTTTAAAGACGACCTGTCTCATGAAGGTCTGTAAATTCCAGGCACCCGTTCCCTCTTAGCGGAGTGAACAATCCGACACTTTGAGATTTCTTCATCTCAATGATAGGAAGAGCCTATATTCTAAAAATCAATCAAAAAAAAGCCACGTTGCT